GGAGGAACATGCCTGTAATCCCAGCTACTCGGGAGGCTGAGAAAAAGGATTGTTTGAACCTGGGAGGCAGAGGTTGCAGTGAGCCAAGATCCCATCACTGCACTCCAGCCTGGGGGACAGAGAAAGATTCTGTCTCAAAAAAGAAAACTAAGGCCGAGAACGGTGGCTCACACCTGTAATCCCAGCACTTTGGGAGGCCAAGGCAGGCGGACCACCTGAGGTCGGGAGTTCGAGATCAGCTTGACCAACATGGAGAAATCCCATCTCTACTAAAAAATACAAAATTAGCAGGGCATGCTTGTGCATGCCTGTAATCCCAGCTACTCGGGAGGATGAAGTAGGAGAATCGCTTGAACCTGGGAGGTGCAGGTTGCAGTGAGCTGAGATCATGCCATTGTACTACAGCTTGGGCAAGAAGTGTGAAAATAAATGAAAAAAAAAAAAAAAAAAGAAAGAAAAGAAAAATGAATAAACAAATAAATATAGCTATACCAAACATCATCATTTATTATTAAAAAATATGACTGCTTCCTGGCAGCAGTGGCTCACATCTGTAATCCCAGAACTTTGGGAGGCTAAGGCGGGTGAATCACCTCAGGTTGGGAGTTCAAGACCAGCCTGGTCAACATGGTAAAACCCCGTCTGCATTAAAAATACAAAAAAAAAATTAACTGGGCGTGGTGGCTCAGGCCTGTAATCCTAGCTACTCGAGAGGCTGAGGCAGGGGAATTGCATGAACCTGGGAGGCAGAGGTTGCAGTGAGCCAAGATTGCGCTACTGCACTCCAGCCTGGCGACAGAGTAAGACTCCATCTCAACAAAAAAACAAAAAAAATATGACTGCCATTTCTGGAGATTAAAATTATGTAAATTGGCCAGGCGTGGTGGCTCACACCTGTAATCCAAGCACTCTGGAGGCCGAGGTGGGCGGATCACCTGGGGTTGGGAGTTCAAGACCAGCCTGACCAACATAGTGAAACTCCATCTTTAAAAAAATAAAAATTAAGTAAATTAAAATATAAGCTTTAATTTCCTCACCCAAAAAATAAAAAGTTAGGGCCAGCCGGCCAGGTGTGGTGGCTCATGCCTGTAATCCCAGCACTTTGGGAGGCCGAGACAGGTGGATCATGAGGTCAGGAGTTCAAGGACAGACTGGCCAAGGAGAGGAAACCTCGTCACTATTTAAAAATACAAAAATTAGCTGGGTGTGGTGGCAGGCATCTGTAATATCAGCTACTTGGGAGGCTGAGGCAGGAGAATCACTTGAACCCTGGGGGCGGAGGTTGCAGCTAGCCAAGATTTCGCCATTGCACTCCAGCATGGGCAACAAGAACGAAACTCTGTCTCAATAAAAAAATACTGTGCTTGTAACAAGATATATACTTGGATATAGCAGATGAAAAAAAAAAGCACCAAAAACAAAACAAGCTGATTTTCTGCCTAACCTGAGATACTTAACCAATTCACCAGCATAATTCACCAACACCAAGGAATTCATCTAATAAGAGAGGAACAGCATTCAGATTTCTTGTAATTTATAAGACGTACCACTAGTAAAAACTCAAGTCAATTTCACAAACTGACAGAAGATGTAAAATTTTAAAAATCACCCTAGAACTTTAGTATCACTGATATTTGTATTATTTCTTTAAATGTATAGGTTGCAAGAAGCCAATTTTATCACAGCCTAAATTTTTAATGTGTTGCTTTGAAGTATCTGTGAAATTGACAAGTATTGCTTTGTTTGTTTGTTTGAATCACCACAGCAAACTACACTTACTGATGAATTGTAAGCTTTTCCATTAGAAATGCAAGCTGGGTGAAAGGGTTAAAAGGAAATAAAAATGGGTGGGTTTACAACGGGAATCTGTTGGCAAATAAATTAGTCACGGTCAATGGAAGCTTGTCTATCAGAAGGCATATTAAGCATATTATTTCATGACTAGCTTTGTGGTTAATGTCTACATTCTTGTCAGTTTCCCTCTCTGTCACTTTTTAGGCTCTAAAAAAATCTCAAAAGAAACCACTTTTTTGCTAAAACTTTAATAAAAATATGTCATTTCTTTATTAGAACATTTTCCTCATTTACTTTAGTTTACGGCTTAAACTGTGAAGATGGAAAAAAGGAAATATTATTAAACTCTGTCATTCAGTAACCTAAGAAACCCACAGCTCTGAACACGATACTGTAAGATTCTTCATAAATTCTAAGATACTGGACTGACGCAATGGATCATGCCTGTAATCCCAGAAGCTGAGGTGGGCAAATCACCTGAGGTCGGGAGTTCGACACTAGCCTGACTAATATGGAGAAACCCCGTCTCTATTAAAAAATTAAAAAACTTAGCCAAGCGTGGTGGTCCACGCCAATAATCCCAGCTATTCAGGAGGCTGAGGCGGGAAAACTGTTTGAACCCGGGAGGCAGAGGTTCCGGTGAGCCAAGATCAAGCCATTGCACTCTAGCCTGGGCAACAAGAGCTAAACTCCGTCTCAAAAAAAAAAAAAAAAAATCTAAGATACTAATATACTTTGATGAAGTCAAGCCAATGTATTTTTTAATGAGTACAAAAAAGGTATGACACCATTTAGGAAAAGAAAATCTATTTTACTAAAATGAACAAAGTTGGCAACTCTACTTGGAAAACGTTAATATTAAAGTTAAGGTAGGAATGAAAGCAAGCAAATGAAAATAACAACAATCTGGAACTTTGTTTAAAAAGTACTGAAATTTGGGCCGGGCACGGTGGCACACACCTGTAATCCCAGCACTTTGGGAGGCTGTGGGTGGATCACAAGGTCAGGGGATCGAGACCAACCTAGCCAACATGGTGAAACCCCGTCTCTACTAAAATACAAAAAATTAGCCGGGCATGGTGGTGCGTGCCTGTAATCTCAGCTTTTCGGGAGGCTGAGGCAGGGGAATCACTTGAACCCGGGAGGTGGAGGTTGCAGTGAGCTGAGACTGCACCACTGCACTCCAGCCTGGCGACACAGTGAGACTCCGTCTCAAAAAAAAAAAAAAAAAAAAAGTACTGAAATTTGGATGGCATGGTGGCTCCCAGCACTGTGGGATGCTGAGCTGGAAGGATTGCTTGAAGCCAGGAGTTCAAGACTAGCTTGGGCAACAGAGCAAGACCCCATGGTGGTGGTACACGTCTACAGTACTAGCTACTCGGGAGGCTGAGGCAGGACAATTGCTTGATCCCAGGAGTTGGAGGCTGCAGTTAGCTGTGACTGCACCACTGCACTCCAGGTGCTGAATGACTGAGCAAGATACTGTCTCAAAAAAATGAACAAACAAAGAAAATAAAAAGACAAGCCACAGACTGAGGGAAAATATTTTGCAAACCTATCTGACAACATCCCTCCATGGAAAAAAAAAAAAAAAAAAAAAAAAAAAGGATTGAAAATGCAGGACTAAGGTACGTTACTGCTTACATTTTTCCCATTGTCTATTACAGGAATATACACTATGGCTATTAATGTCATATTACACAAGAACCTTCATGTTGAACCATGTGCTCTTTACTCCAAACTTGTCTTGGCCCAGGTGTTGATGAAAGCATTGCTAGGTGCAAATGAAAACCCAACAAGTCAAAAGTTCCCCTCAGGTTTATCTCCATACTCCCAGTGTTTATCTGACATAGGTACTGAGGAAGAAATAGCTATTATGTTCTAAAAGCTTGGATGAAACACAAGGAAACATTTCTAGAACCTAACAGCTATAAGGGACTGAATAGTTTTATAAGAGGTCGGCTTCCCTTTTTTAGAGATGATTAAGCAGTACAATTTCTACCATAGCTACCTACCTTCTATCCCTGACCCTTGGCAGAAGGGTGGAAACAAAAGATTGAAGGATACCCCAAGTTCAAGCATTCCGTGCATAAAGACAGAATGTGGCATTATTCCCAGAAGGAAATTCTCATTAGAGTTTCATGGCATGCATAGTTAAGCTCTGGAGAAGATAAACTGACCTATGGGTTATCTAAGCCCTACGAATCATGTTTATAGTAGGATTTAACCACAAACATAAGGTTTTTACATATATAGCTCTCAAATTATCATTTTATATTCCCTTGTACTCTAAGTCTTACTATCAGAGATGGTAACCACGCATGCATATAAACCCCTCTCTCTTCATCTTTCTCGTTAAATTACAGCCAATCTTGAAAATCTTATAAAGTGGTAATTTAGTTTAACACGAGCAAAGTATAGTAACTGATCACCCATTCTTCCTGGATGGGTGAGCAGATGACTGAATATTGACGTGGGCATTCCTGAACACACTAAGTGAGCACTGTTTGGTTACTGCTTCTGATTGAAATGATCCTGTGTTTTGGTTGTGGCCAGGCTTTGAAGTGCTACTGGCCATTCCCTTCTTTCACAGAGCTCTCACCACTCAAACATGAAGGATTTGGTAAAATACGAGTTTGGTTGAGTCCTGCTTGCCCCCACTTGGTCATCTCTGTATGAATCCAACGTTTCATCTGGTTGTTGGTTTTTAAATTATTTTTAGCTGATGTTCATGAAGAAAAGTGAGCATCTACAAGCATGCTACTAATGAAAGAAAATCCTAGCTAAGAAAGTGCATTTCTGTACAAGAGCTGTGTCATACCATCCTTTGGGCTCTCTGCTGGAAAAGTAGAATCAAACCTTATATAATGCCTTTTTAATTGTACCCTCTAGTATTATAGATGTAAGACAGTACTGTATTATACCTCTGTGAACATAAAATACCTTGTACTTGCTTTATGATATGTAGTAGCAACTATGCCTTAATCAAGTTGTTGTTTTTTTTTTTTTTTTTTTTTTTTTTTTTTTTTTTTTTTTTTTTTTTTTTTTTTTTTTTCTTGAGATAGTCTCATTCTGTTGCCTAGGCTGGAGTGCAGTGGTGTGATCTTGGCTCACTGCAACCTCCACCTCCCATGTTCAAGCAGTTCTCCTGCCTCAGCCTCCCAAGTAGCTGGGATTATAAGCATGTGTCACCACACCTGGCTAATTTTTGTAATTTTAGTAGAGATGGGGTTTCACCATGTTAGTCAGGCTGCTCTCAAACTCCTGACCTCATCATCTGCCCGCCTGGGCCTCCCAAAGTGCTGGGATTACAGGCATGAGCCACCGTGTCTGGCCTCAAGTTGCTTTTAATAATGCTATTCTGGAATGTTTTCTTTCCAGATCATGAGTGAAAAGCTAAAAAAATAACAAATAATAATGGTACCAGGTACTGTAACAGTAACAGAAAAAAAAAAAAATCTTGAAAAGTGAAAGATTGGCCAAGTGTGATGGCTCATGTCTGGAATCTCAGCACTTCGGGAAGCTGAGGCGGGCAGATCACTTCAGGTCAGGAGTTCGAGACCAGCCTGGCCAACATGGTGGAACCTCATCTCTACTAAAAATACGAAAATTAGCCAGGTATGGTCGCAGATGCCTGTAATCCCAGCTACTCGGGAGGCTGGGATGGGAGAATGGTTTGAACCCAAGAGGTGGAGGCTGCAGTGTGCCAAGATCATGCCATTATACTCCAGCCTGGGTGACAAGAATAAAACTGTTTCAAAAAAAAAAAGACTAGTTGTTGCCTTTACAGTCCACAGATTGCTGTACTGCTAACAATTCAAGCCTCGTTGAACAGTATAATATATCAGAGCAACCACAACTTTCGTTTGACAAGGGAATTTAACCTGTCTTGCAAGCTTCCTGTGAAAGGGAATGTCCTATCTTCAGAGGAAACTATATTAATTTGGAATTTGTCCTAAATTTTATTTTGTTTTATTTTAACTGATTGATTGAGACAGTGTCTTGCTTGCTGCCCAGGCTGGAGTACAGTGGCACAATCATGGCTCATTGCAGCCTTGAACTCCAAGGCTCAAGCAATTCTCCTACCTCAGCCTCTCAAGTAGCTAGGACCACAGCTGAGCACCACCACATTTGACTAATTGTATTGTATTATTTTAAATTTTTTACTTTTTTTGTAGAGGCAGGGTCTCACTATGTTACCCAGGCTGGTCTCAAACTCCTGGGCTCAAGTCATCCTCCCATTTTGGCCTCCCAAAGTGCTGGAATTACAGGCATGAGCCACTGTGCCTGGCATGCCTTACATTTTACAAAATAAATAATTCCCAATAACTGAAGCACATTTCTCTCCTTGTAATTTCCAGAACCATAAGAAGTAATCTTATTCCTCTTCTACTAGATAATCCCCCATTTAGTGCCTATCATGATTTTTTTTTTTTGAGATGGAGTCTCGCTCTGTCGCCAGGCTGGAGTGCAATGGCATGATTGGCATGATCTTGGCTTACTGCAACCTCTGCCTCCCTGAGTTCAAGTAACTCTTGTGCCTTAGCCTCCTGAGTAGCTGGGACCACAGCACGCGCTACCACACCCAGCTAACTTTTTTGCATTTTTAGGAGAGATGGGGTTTCACCATGTGGCCAAGCTGGTCTCAAATTCCTGACCTCAGGTGATCCACCCACATCAGCCTCCCAAAGTGCTGGGATTACATGAGCCACCACACCGGGCCTAAACATGGTAGCTATTATTAAGGTTTTTTGAATTATAATACTTACAGCTTGAGTTATCTATTATAAAAATCACTTCTATACCATATTGTTTCATCCATTCAGGTTTTTAGTCCTGAACACACACACACTAACACAAAGGAATGCCACTGAAAAAACCATCAAAAATCCCTTTTTTTAAAATTAAAAATGGAAATAATTTATCCTTTTAGGGACTCAAAAACTTACCTAAAGGTTTATTCTCTGCTGTCTGTTCGAGTTCTCTGAAAGCACTATATTTATCACCAGGATCTATGATAGAAAGGATGGAGCTCAATTAAGGTTAGGAATCTTGAAATCACAACTCCAGGAAGTGAGGCAGATTGGTTTAACCAAACACTCTTAACGTGTGGTATAAGCATTTTACACATTTAGCACAGAAGACCACCACTTAAAGATTCATACAATTTAAATATTTTGCAATTTAGCATTCACAAGTTTATGAATTTACCAATTGTTTTTACCTCCAGGTGGAACAGTATTTTCAGAAGATTTATCAGCTGCAATTCCTTTAAATACAGCATATTTGTCCATTGAAGGCAATGCTTTAGTTCCAGGAAGTGGCATCAACAAAGAAGGGGCACTAAAGGGAAAAAGAAACTTTTGATGACCCCGAATTCTGCCCTTATCATCAAAAAGGAAGTTAGAATTAAAATAGCAAACAAGTATTTCATTAAAACTCATGGCTGTCTGCTTTAAAAGTGAGAAACTAAATAGTATACATATATACCACAAAACTAAAAACAATGTCCTTTAAAAAAAAAAAAGACAAAAAACAATACCCAAACAATCATTTTTTTTCCTGATTAAATGAAGAGGGGCCAGAACCATGTTGACTGTCTAAGTGCCTCTTTAAGCCTTAACAACAATTGGAATGGCATTGGAAGTAGATTATTAAAGGATGACTTCCTGCAATTTTAACTTTACGACCATAAAACTGTAAAAGTGAACTGATCCACGTATGTATACACAATATTTTAAAATAAATCATGTTAACCTTAATATAAATTATCTTAAATGGGTTCAGAGTGCAGAGGTAGAATAGTTAAGATAAAAATCTATTTATGAAATGTCATTCAAGCCAAGATGTAAATTGTTCTTCTTTTGATCGTACTGCACTGCCTACTGGCAGAAGTGCATACATCTGATAAGCTGCAGCAGAGTTAATACAATTTGCATTTTTACAAGGATCACATCAGTGGTTCCAGAAGCTATCTTTGTAACAAAACAACAATCACTTCAAAATTAGATAAAGATACTTTTGCCTGTGGACATATTTCTTGCTGGATGGAAAAATAGCGTAATAAGTAGTATCTGTATGGGTCATTCTTAGAAGGCTTAAACATATACTATAAAAGCATTACTTTTTTTTTTCTTCTTCTTCTTCCCTTATCAGACCCAGGCAGCTCCCTGGAAGAAGTACCTTTACATATGAATGACTACATTCCACCACTAGTTCTTGTCATTCAATACCATGTACAAGTTATATAAATGGATTTCTATGGAGTTCTTTGCCCTGGAGCAAAAAAATCTTTCCACAGACATTTACATCTTCTTATCAGTGGCTTACAAGTAAGGTAAAAACTAGGCTCTGGCAGCTGCATGCTAATGGGTACACAGTCCTTTAGGACTTAATGCCATCAAATATTATGATTTCACATCACCACCAAACAACTGCTATATAACTGATCTTGACAAATGAAATAAGTCATCGTCTATATATTGTAAGTTGACTTTTTAAAAGTTCCATAAGTAATTAAAGTACAGTTCACCATACAGAATATTACATGGGAATAAAGGCAATTAACATTTTAGGGAAAAAAAAAACCCAAAAAGTTGAATGATTTATTTTTCATGATCCCTCCAACTTTAGTGATGGCCATTTACAGCTCATCGGTAAAAATCTTTCTACTAAATGTGACACTTACTTATTAATTTTAAAATTATATTCACAGAATTGAAAAAAAAAAAAGATCTTTAGGGTAATGAACTACTTCTTGCTGATTAAAGTCAACAAAATTCCATTCACAGTAAGTTATGACTTAGAATGTAATTTTATGCATACTGCAAATGAATATTTCATTCTAGTTCTCCTGTTATTATTTTAAAAAACCACTGTAGTCACTGTGAAAGTGTTTATGCCAGTTACATACAGTTATCATCTGTTCCAAACATGAAAACAGTTATTTCTGCCCTTTCGTACAATGAAAATACTCAAGTGAGAAAGGCATATTGATTTTACATTTAAGAACCTGTATTCTACTAAAAAGTAAGACTTAAAAAAATTGGCCAAAAAAAGTATTTTGCATTTTCTCTAGTGAATCTATTAGTGTTTTACAATCACTCCATATGACTGTGGTAGATAGTTTTATTTAGTTGCTTACCCTGCTAAATATATGCATTTCAAAAGAATATTTTGATCTCAGCAAAATAAACTAATCAACTCCAAACCCCTATACATTAACCTTTGTGAATTTTTATTTTTACTTTTTGTTTTTGAGACAGCGTCTTGCTCTGTCACCAGGCTGGAGTGCAGAGGCATAATCACAGCACACTGCAGTTTCAACCTCCTGGGTTCAAGTGATTCTCCTGCCTCAGCATCCCAAGTAGCTGGGACAGCTGGGAAAACAGGGATGCACCACTACGTCCAAGTGGTGAAGGTTAAGGTGGCGTTTAAAACCTTAGACAAATGTTTATGCAAACAACAGAAATCTGAAGGCTTAAAAGACACTGATGTCAAATATACAAGAAATGTGAATAAATATGATTATTTAGAGTTCTGAATTATAGTTCTACGGAAAAGCAACAGTACATTATATTACATTACAAAAATGTAAAATTATGTGCTCCTGCCTAAAAAACTTTTCAACAGTTGAAGACCTGCCTTTTAATACAGGAACATGAAGTCATCACTGCACAGATGCTCTTAGCTATAACACAGGTTTGGCACAGGTAAAAAAGGGTATTGGCAGGCAGGTGTGTACTGGGAGGAAACAGTAGGGGCTGAAATTTGAGGTGGACAAAGGGGAGAGAAATTTGCAGAGTAAAATTTAATTTTTTAAATTCCTCACACCTAGCCTTCTTATTATGGATGCCTCTTTCTTAACGATTAAATACAATATTAAATATATCAAACTCTTTTCTACCTATTTCCAGGCTGGGAGTTACTTGTTTTTGAAGAAGCAGGCAACTCTTGGAAATCACTGAACGAGTCATCAAGGGATCCTGACTTAGAAGCATCTTGAAAATCCTGGAAGTCGTCTTCTTCTGGCTTTACTACCTAAGTTTATAAAGGACATTTAAATAAATAGCACTGACTGGTAAAATAAATGCACAACAAATCTCCAAGAGTCAATCTCAAAGACTGCCTTTAAAATTTCTGAGTCTAGGTACATTAACTCAAGTGCTTAAGGCCAGAATCCTGTTTTGTAATTTTAGATACTCTCTGGTACAAATGGTAAAAGACTGGTCTAAATAGCTAATCTAGGCCAGGCCCAGTGGTTCATACCTATAATCCTAGCACTTTGGGAGGTGGATCTCCTGAGGTCAGAAGTTTGAGATCAGCCAGCAGATCCCTGAGGTCAGAAGTTTGAGATCAGCCTGCCTGGCCAACATGGCAAAACCCTGTCTCTACTAAAAATACAAAAATTAGCTGGGCATGGTGGCATGAGCCTGTAGACTCGGCTACATGGGTGGCTGAGGCAGGAGAATCCCTTGAACCCAGGAGGCGGAGGTTGCAGTGAACCAAGATCACATCACCGTACTCCAGCCTGGGTGACTGTAAAAAAAAAAAAATAATAATAATAATAATAATTTATACATTTTTAAAATAGCTGAATTTTATTGGATTACTGAGCGTCTACCATCTTTAAAAGATATATCTAGCTGGATGTGGTGGCAGGCACCTGTAATCCCAGCTAGTTGGCAGGCTGAGGCAGGAGAATGGCTTGAACCTGGGAGGCGGAGGTGGCAGTGAACCAAGATCATGCCACTGCATTCCACATTCCAGCCTGGGCAACACAGCAAGACTCGTCTCAAATAAATAAATTAAAAAGGTNAAAAAAAAAAAAAAAAAAAAAAAAAAAAAAAAAAAAAAAAAAAAAAAAAAAAAAGTCATATAGACATACCATGCATGTTTGCAAATTGACACAAGCTCATCATAACCAATCACATACATGTATAAAAAGTGAACAATGACTCCTAATCCCACACTTCAGAAGTAGTTAACAGCTCATTTGTTTTAAAGAAAAATGAGCTTACACTATATTGCTCTATACTTTAACTATATAACAAAGACACATCTCCCTGCAGTACATGTAGATCTATCTCATTCAGTTTAATGATTAGTTTTCCACTGTGTGGATGAACTAAAATTTATTTAACCTTTCTCCCTGTTTTTTTTTCTTCTTTTACTTTTTACTCTAACAATGTTACAAAACAAATTCTTGCATATCTTTGCTAATTTGAGTGACTATTTCTTGAGACAGATTTCTAACAATGTGACTGCTGGGACAGAAGATATATACGTGCTGAGGTATTTGTTTTGTTTTGTTTTAAACAGGGTCTCCTTCTGTTGCCAAGCTGGGGTGTAATGGTATGATCATAATCATAGCTCACCGCAGACTTGAACTCCTGGTCTTATACGATCCTCCTGTCTCAGCCTCCAGAGTAGCGGGGACTACACCTATACACCACCACGCCCAGCTGGACATGTAGAATTTTGATAGTTATTGCCAAGTCTGCCTTTCAACAAGGCTGTAACAATAAGCCTAGAGTGTATTAGTTACGTTTACCCTGCATTTTCTTTTTTTTTATTTTTTTATTTTTTGAGACTGAGTCTCACTCTGTCACCCAGGCTGGAATGTACTGGCGCGATTTCAGCTCACTGCAACCTCTGCCTCCCAGGTTCAAGCGATTCTCCTGCCTCAGCCTCCCAAATACCTAGCACTACAGGCATGTGCCACCACATCCAGCTAATTTTTGTATTTTCAGTAGAGACAGGGTTTTACCATGTTGGCCAGGCTGATGTTGAATTCCTGACCTTGTGATCCACTGGCCTCAGCCTCCCAAAGTGCTGGGATTATAGGCATAAGCCACCACACCCAACCCAAAATGAGCCAATGGGACACAACAAGGTTAAGTAATTCGTCTAAAGACTTGTAGACAGCGAGTGGCAGCATAAAGACCAAACCCAGGTCTTTCTTTTTTGAGACGGAGTTTCGCTCTTGTTGCCCAGGCTGGAGTGCAATGGTGTGATCTCAGCTCACTGCAACCTCCACCTCCCAGGATTCTCCTGCCTCAGACTCCCGAGTTGCTGGAATTACAGGCATGTGCCACCATGCCCGACTAATGTTCTATTTTCAGTAGAGATGGGGTTCCTCCATGTTGGTCAGGCTGGTCTCAACCTCCTTACCTCAGGTGATCTGCCTGCCCCAGACTCCCAAAGTGCTAGGATTACAGGCACGAGCCACTATGCCCAGCAATTTTCAATAACACTAAATATTATATACTTAAAACATTTTTGCTAATCTGGGAAGTGAAAAACTGAAGTATTTTAATTTCAGGTTTAGCAGTTTTCCTGAAAGATAGAACCTAAGAATTTAAATGTGCTCACCATAATCCAGCAACCTACTCTATGTATCCCTGGAAAAAAGGTTCCCAGATTCACCTTGAGGAATTATTTGAAATATGCACAGCTTCTCCATTTACCTGATTTGCAGGGTAAGTTGGCAGGAAACCACCAGAAGCCTGGGCTGCAGCTCCACCCACTGGTCCAACAAGGTTAATGCCCATGACTGGCTGCCCAAGGCTGAGGGGCATGGAGCCCGCAGGGGTAGATGGTATCACAGTTGTCTGACTCACTGGCGTAGGCAGAGTCATAGAAAAACCACTTAAAGTTGGAATAGGAGCTGCTGGGAATTGGTTTAAAGCATCAGGACTCATTGCAGGAACGCCCCTCTACAAATGACAGAAGGAAAATGGATTAGGAGTTTGTAAACCACATATGATCGAAATCTAGCAAAGAGACAGAAAGGTAAAAATCTGCAGCTTTGTGTGTTTCCACTCTCAATCTCAAAACTCATGAATTTGATATAAGAAAAAAGTTACAAGGTCAATACAAACCTAATATTTAATAAAGAAATGGCCAACTATATCAGTTCTGACACTTTCTCTAACAAGTTTGGTTAATTCTATATGATCAAACCATTTAAAATGACTTTGCAATAAAAGAAAAACTGCTACCAGACTGAGAATATTTTATCTATATGTATGAAATTTTAGACAAGGACTTCAAGAGACAGAGTAATTTCAGCTATCACTGACTAACTTTCAAGTTGAGAAAATGCTAATATATATAAAAGTCTTTAGCTGGGCGCTGTGGCTCACGCCTGTAATACCAGCACTTTGGGAGGCCGGCACGGGTGGATCATTCGAGGTCAGGAGTTCAAGATCAGCCTGACCAACATGGTGAAACCCCGTCTCTACTAAAAATACAAAAATTAGCCAGGTGTAGTAGCAGGCACTGTACTCCAGCCTGGGCAATAGAGTGAGACTCAGTCTCAAAAACAAAACAAAACAAGTCTTAAATAATTTACTATTATGCACATCACATAAACTGTACATTTTTGAGATACTATAAACTGAAAATGATCAAATTTTAATGTACAAGGAGTTATACAACGTAGTAAAAAAGATTTCATATAGTTTCAATTTATATTAATGAAGTTATTTGATCTAACTTCAGAAACACAGTTTACCTGTGTTACTGCTATCATGGCGAGAACGGTATAAAGTTCTTCTTTTGTAAGTCTGCCAGGTGTAGTTCGATTAGCTAAGGCCCATATCTGTCCAAGAGTTTCCCTGGGAAGTCCAGATGACATCAGAATGGGATACAGTTTAGCAGTATCTATTCCAGTTGGAGTCATTGTGGTTTCTAAGATTTTCTTATAGGCATCTATTAAAGGGAAGACCAGATTACAAATGGAAACACATTAAAAGTGATTCAGTTTTTGGGGTGCCATTGCTGGTATACAAGAATAATTTTCAAAATGCTTTAATAGAACCGAAGCCATGTCAGAGTTTAAATTGCTTTAAATATATTCAAGTGTGGCTGGGCATGTGGCTCATGCCTATAATCTCAGCACTTTGGGAAGCTGAGGCCAGCGGATCATCTGAGGTCAGGAGCTTGAGACTAGCTCAGCCAACATGGTGAAATCCCATCTCCACTAAAAGTACAAAAATTAGCCGGGCATGGTGGCATGTGCCTGTAGTCCCAGCTACTTGGGAAGCTGAGGCAGGATAATTGCTTGAACCCCAAGACGAGGGTTGCAGTGAGCCAAGATCGTGCCTCTGTACTCTGCACTCCAGCCTGGGCAACAGAGTAAGACTCCATTACAAATATATATATATATATTTGAGCTATTCAAGTGGAAGTTTCCAGCAGACAATTAGAGTCTGAAGCCTAGAAGAGTCTGGAGCTGGGTACTAAAGATAAGGTTTAAGGCTAGAGGTAAGACAAAGTCTTATAATTCAGTAGAAGACTGTAACGAGACAGCATGCTTTCGACTTTTCAAGAGAAGCTGTAGAGTAATGATGGTGCGAACAGTTTGAAAAGAGCAACAGGAAGTAAGAATTATACCAACATCACTCTTTCCAGTAAATTAGAGGTTGTGAGAGAAACCACTAAAGAAACTACAGAGAAACCACTGAAATACAGCCTTCAAGGAAAGACCTGGTTTCGGTCAGGGGGAGGAAGCAGAACAAATGTCTTAAAAAGGGGGGTACAGTTGGTGAGTTTTTGACAGTAACGTGAATTTTCCAAAGGACCAAGTGGGAAATGTTGTCAGAGATAGGGCAAAAATAATGCCAATATTGCATGGGACACACTTATACTAAAAAAAATCACTTGCTGTTGACCTGAAATTCAAATTTAACTGGCCATTCTGTATGGTTACTTACTAAATCTAGCAAGCTTAGTTAGAGAAGCAAAAGTAAGTAGGGCTAAAGGAGACAGAGAAAAATATTTAAAACAAAAAGTTTACATCTGGGATTATGAGTATGGAGTACAGGTTAGTGGGCTCTCTACAAGAACACATTTTGGTCTGGCACGGTGGTTCACGTCTGTAATGCCAGCACTTTGGGAGGCCAAGGTGGGCAGATCACAAGGTCAGGAGTTCAAAACCAGCCTAGCCAATATGGTGGCTAAAAATACAAAAAAATTAGCTGGGCATCGTGGCACACGCCTGTAATCCCAGCTACTTGGGAAGCTGAAGCAGGAGAATCGCTTGAACCTGGGAGGCGGAGGTTGCAGCCAAGATCGAACCATTGCACTACAGCCTGAGTGACCAAGTGAGACTCTGTCTCAAAAGAAAAAAAANAAAAAAAAAAAAAAAAAAGAACACGTATTTTGACTAAAAGTATGCATGCATGTATGTTTGAAAGGAGAGGGGAGAAAGTAATACAAACTGGCAGAAAATGGATAAAACTCCAACATATACCAAGATCTAGATTTTGCTTGTTTGGCTTGAGGACAGAGAAGAAGAAAAGATGCAAACTGCATAATAAGCAGTTGGAAGAAAAGCCATTATTTTTATGTACAACTGAATTGTACGTGTGATTTTGGTAACAATCGGCCTTTTGTCTTTATGAGTAAACAAACATTAATGCAAGAAATTGAGGGGACATAAAAACAGAGAAATATTCCATGTTCGTGTTTTGGAAGAATCAATGTTTTTAAAACACCCATACTACCCAAAGCAATGCGTAGTACAGATTAAATGCAATCCCTATCAAATACCAGTTACATTTTTCACAGAAACAGAAAAAATAATCCTAAAATTTATATGGACCCAGAATAGCCAAAGCCATCATGAGCAAAAAGAACAAAACTGGAGGAATTATAGTACATTACCATATATTACCTGACTTCAAATTATACTACAAAGCTATAGTAACCAAAACAGCATAGTAATGGCATAAAAAGAGACACAGAGACCAATGGAACAGAATACAGAACCCAGAAATAAATCCACACGTCTACATTGAACTTATTTTTCAGCAAGGTTTCAAGAACATACATTGGGGAGGGTCTCTGTAATAAATGGTGCTGGGAAAAACAGACATCCATATGCAGAAGAATAAAACTTGAACCCATCCCACACCAAATACAAAAATCAAATCAAAATGAATTAAAGACTTAAATCTAAGACCAGAAACTATGAAAAAAAAAAAAAAAAAACTTGGGGAGACTCTCCAGGACATCAGTCTGGGCAAATACTTGAGTAGTAACCCAAAAGGAAAGGCAACCAAAGCAAAAATGGACAAATGGAATCACATCAAGTTTAAAAGCTTTCGCATTGCAAAGGCAACAATCAACAAAATGAACAGACAACCACAGAGTGGGAGAAGAATATCTGCAAACTATACATCTGACAAGGGATTCATAACCAGAATACAGAAGAAGCTCAAACAACTCAGTAGAAAAAAAAACCTAATAATCTGATTAAAAAATGGAAAAGAGAACTGAATAAGCATTTCTCAAAAGAAGACACGCAAACGGCAAACAGGTTCATGAAAAGGTGCTCAACATCACCGATCCTCAGAGAAATGTCAATCAAAAGTACAATGAGATATCATCTCACCCCACTTATGATGGCTTTTATCCAAAAGACAAGCAATAGCAAATGCTGGTGAGGATGTGGAGAAAAGGGAACCCTCATACACTGTTGGTAGAAATGTAAATTAGTATAGCCACCATGGAGAACAGTATAAAGCTTTCTCCATAGCGGCTGTACTAATCTGTAAATCAACATTCAGAAGCAACCTAAGTGTCCATCGGCAGATAAATGGATAAAGAAAATGTGGTATACACATACAACGGAGCACAATTCAGCCCTAATAATAATTTTAAAAAAATTGAGATCCTGTCATTTCCAACAACATGGTTGGAATTGGAGGACATTATGTTAAGTGAAAATAAGCCAGGCATAGAAATTCAAACTTCACATATGTTCATTCATTTATGGAAACTAAAAATTAAAACAACTGAACTCATGGAGATAAAGAATAGAATGATGGTTTCCAGAGGCTGAGAAGGGTACTGGGGATGGGGGAATAGGCACAAAAATATAATTGGATAGAAGGAATAAGAGCTAGTATTTGATAGCACTACAAGGTAGGTACAGTCAACAATAATTTATTGTACAGTTAAAATAGCTTAAAGAGTATATTTGGAATGCTCATAACACAAAGAAGTAATACAAGCTTGAGGTAATGGATACCCTATCTACCCTAATGTGATTATTATAAATTGTATGTCTGTATCAAAGTATCTCATGTACCCCATAAAATATATACTTACTATACACCCATAAAAATTAAAAACTTTTTTAAAGAAGAAAATGCATTTTCAGGATTTTTTTTTTTTTTTTTGAGACAGAGTCTTACTCTGTCGCCCAGGCTGGAGGGCAGTGGCATGATCTCGGCTCACTGCAACCTCCACCTCCTGGGTTCAAGAGATTCTCCTGCCTCAGCCTCTTGAGTAGCTGGGACTACAGGCATGAGCCACCACACCCAACCAAGTATCTTTTTCTTCTTTTGTTTTTGGCTCAGCAGTAAAAATACATGTAAAGAAAAAGCAGGCCAGGTGCAGTGGCTCACACCTGTAATCCCAGTACTTTGGGAGACTGAGGCAGGCAGATCACTTGAGCCCAAGAGTTTGAGACCAGCGTGAGCAACGTGGAAAGACCCTGTCTATACAAAAAATACAAAAATTAGCTGGGCATAGTGGCACATGCCTGTAGTCCCAGCTACTTGAGAGGCTGAGATGGGAGGACTGCGCGAGTCTGGGGAGGTCAAGGCTGCAGTGAGCCAAGATCGTGCCACTGCAATCTAGCCTGGGTGACAGAGTAAGATCTTGTCTCAAAAA